GGATGGGGTGGGACACCTCAGTGGGGCCGCTTTGGAGCGCCATGGGTGATGCCATCGGGCATCCTTCGTACCCCCCTTCCCCGCCTTGGGGTCCCACATCCCCCCAAGAGCAGCCGATAACCGGTGGAGCAGAGGAATATGGGGCTGGGAGCGTGGTACAGGTCACGGGCAGACACCTGCTTGGTTGTGCCTCTCTGTTCAGCTGCTGGGACGCAGGCGCGGTGTAAGGTGCCCCTTTTTGCTGCTCCTCATCTGTGGGAAGCTCTGGAAGACTTCACAAAACCGGGCACATAGACGTCCTTATATATATACCCCTATAGTAGGTGTGTATATGTATCTCTACTGCAGTTCTTTGGGAGAAATGCTCCCCGGGGCCTCGCTCGCCCCAGCTGCGTGCCACCCAGGGCTGGCAGCTGCGGGCCGAAAGCGAGAGCGAGCTGGGGGAGAAGTGAAAGCCGCAAGCTGTTTCCATTGTCCAAAGGTAGATGATATGCAAAGCACAAGGAGTGAAAGTGAACCAGGTGAGCAGAAATCACGTTATTAAAATGAAGGTGAGGCTTACGCCCTTTGGGACGCTCGCTGTAAAGAGGGAAGTTTTGAGGACCTTCACACCACCCGACATGAGCGTTTACTCAAGAGCTGGGGAGCTCAAGCGTCCAGGCGCTTCCCGTTGAAAAAAAACTGCGTTCATTCCTCCAGAGAGTCGTTGGGCGAGCCTCACTGAGACATTTATTAGTTATTTATTCCTGCAAAATATTATTGTGCTTTCTGCTGAAGATTAATTCTTGCAGGAAAACTGTTAAGAATATGCAAAGGGTTATAATTAGTGCCTATTTCTGCATGGCTTGTGAGCGGCATGCCTGCAAAAGCGCCGAGGCAGATTTGGTGCTGGGGGTGCTGCGAGCCCCAGCTCGGCTCTCAGCAGAGATGCCGGCCTGTTCCCCCCTTGCAGGGGGAGAAGCCGCTTCCGCAGGGCTCCGCGAAGCCCCTCTCTCAAGCTGCGGGGGTGCTCGTGGTCCCTGCGACGTGGCGCTGACCTGAGGTGTTTCTCTGTCTCGTTCGAAAGGATGCCGACTCCTCCGAGCGGGTCCTCATGGACATGCGCTGGGGCCTGATACCCTCCTGGTTCAAAAAGGACGACCCCTCCAAAATGCAGTTTAATACCTCCAACTGCCGTAGCGATACCATGCTGAAGAAGTCCTCCTACAAGGTGAGTTGCTGCCGTATTTGTGTCCAGCTTGAAGAGATCTTGTAGGCAGCAAAACCAGAGCTGAAGCATCTCCCTAGCGAGTACCGGTCACCGTTTGCCTGCTGCACAGGGGAGTAAGTCCCTGTACCGCAGAGCTGGCCGATTTCATTAAAATAGAAGAACTGAAAAGGTTGTTCCTGGTGAAGCTCATCCTTCATCACAGCGCTGGTGGTGGCGTTCGTGCACCCCGCGGGGCAGTTCAGGGGAGCCCTGAGAGGGAACAAGTGAGCTGGGTGGTCGCAGGAGCCCCCGCCCTCTCTCCCAAGCTGCCCAAGGCTGCTGTTCACAGCTTGCTGGTGTTTTCTGTCCCCCAGGGTGCTCTCCTCAAGGGCAAGCGCTGCGTGGTCCTGGCAGATGGCTTCTACGAGTGGCAGCAGCAAAGCGGGGGGAAGCAGAATTTACTTCCCCCAGACCAAGGATGCCACGGTACGGAGTCCCTTGCCGTGTCTGAATGCTCACACCCAGCTCTGAGCCCTTGCTCCCTCCAGCTGCCTGGGGAAAAGCCCCCTTCCCTCCAGCTGCCCCTCCCTGGGGATCTCTGTTTCCCAACGGGGCTCCATCCTGCGGCAGGCTCGGCACCCCAGCATCCCTCTGCGGCCAGCGGTCCCTGCCGCTGAGGTGCCCTGGTTGTAAATGGTGCCTCAGCGTCCACGCCGTCACGCTCACTGCTCCCCGCATGCCGGATATTTGCTTGGGCGGGCGATGTGTCTCACAGGGGACTGGGCTGGGAGTTTCACTACCTCTTCCGTCTGACTGAGCCGGCAGCCAGGATGTTCAGAAGGGGAGGAGGGCGCTGGCTTGCCTGTAGGAAGACGAGGCTCCAGGTACCTCTCCTGGAGTTACCTCAAATTAGTAGAAGGGCTCCTGGAGAGCCCTCAAATGAGTTCAGTTCATGACTTAGATCTGAGTCGTTGACCTGCCGTGGCACTGGCAAGTCTGCGATGCTTTGGCTGCCCATGGGTTGGCACTGACGGGGGCCATGGGGCCTCTCTCCTGCAGCCTGAGGAGAAGGAGGGAGACGAGGAATGGAGAGGCTGGAGGCTGCTCACCATGGCTGGGATTTTTGACTGCTGGGAGCCACCGGCGGGAGGCGAAATGCTGTACACTTACACCATCATCACCGTGGATGCCTCCAAGGACGTGAGCTTCATCCATCACAGGCAAGTTGGGGGGAGGGGGGGCTGCAGGGTGCGGGGGGATGAGGGAGGAAAGCTGCGCCTTTAAAGGCTGGTCTGGCAGCACGCAGGCAGGGAGTCCTCCTGATGCCCTCGGAGACAAACGCTACAACATTACCGGCTCATTTCGGGTCACTGGCTCATGCCCTTTCCATAAATCACCATCTTTGTGATGTCTCATCTTTGGATCGCGCTCCAGAGTTGGATCGCTCTCCGCCTGACCAGGGCCTGGCAGTCAACCCCTCCAGCAAAGCAGCTACCTGGGCAAAGCGAATGCGCGCTCTGCCTTGTGGAAGAGCATCCTGCTGCTTCGGTTTTCCCTGTTTCCCCACAAGCTGCCAGCTCCTTCCTAGCTTACAAGCCTGGCTTTTGCCACCCCACTCTACCACATCAGCACTGGGCTTTGGCTCTGACTGTCTTGTCCCCTAGGATGCCAGCCATCCTGGATGGGGACGAGGCCATCAGGAAATGGCTGGACTTCGCTGAAGTGCCCACCCAAGAAGCAGTTAAACTCATCCAGCCCTCGGAGAACATCGTTTTCCACCCAGTGTCCACCTTTGTCAACAGCGTCCGTAACAACACGCCCGAGTGTGTGTCACCCATCGAGCTGGGAGCCAAGAAGGTGAGGGCTGGCAGGGGCTTGGGAGGGGAGAGCTTGGCCACGGTGATGTCCCTGAGCAGGGACGGTGCTGCCAGGTTGCAGGAGGGGCAGCAGCAGGCAGCATCTGCAGGGCATGCCTGTGCTTGATGCTGGAGCGCCAAGCCCCGAACAGAGTCCCTTCCCTCCGCTTCCAGAAATAAACTCTCACCCCATGCCAGGATTTCTCTGCCAAATGAGGCAAATTCCATGTGAAATGGGGCTTGGAACAAGCCTGTTCCCAGCAGCCTGGGGAGCCTCCCGCAGATGTGCCTGATTGCAGGCAGGGCTGTGGCTCCAGCCTCCGCATCCTGCTCTGGACCAGCTCTCGGAGTCGGCTGCCTGCCCTGCTCTCGCTGTGCTTCTGACTTCTCGCCCACTGTCTTTTGTCTCTCCAGGAGGTCAAAGCCTCCCCAAGCAGCAAAGCAATGCTGGGCTGGTTAAAAAACTCCCAGGAAGGTTCTCCCCAGAAGAAAGAAAATGATTTGCCCAGGTGGAAAAGTCAGTTCATCCACAGCCCTTCACCCAAGAAAACCAGCGCAGATATCCTGCAGCAGTGGCTGGGGAAGGAGGGAGAGCCGGCTGCGAAGAAGCGCAAGGCTTCGGCACCATCCTAGGATGGCTGGCCATCCTTTTGCCTCCTGATTTTCCTAAGAAGAATGAGGAACATTTTTTGGAAGGCTTTGCAGATGGCTGTAGAGATTCTCCAAGCCTCTCAGGTGTTGATTTGATGCTCTACATTGTTGACTCTGTTCTTTGTGTCTTGTTAAAAGTTGGTGTTCGTCTTCAAAGGTTTTTCCTTTTTCTTGTGCTGACGGGAGTGGATATAACCTGCTGGCCTCCCTCCCTGGCAGTCGCTCGTGCCAAGTGCAGATAAAGCCTTGAGAAGTATCTCAGCCTGCTGGGGAGGAGTAGCTTCTGCCTTCTGACAGTGTCACAGTTCATGTCTCCTGTTTTCTTTTCTTTTCCCTTTTTTTTTTTTTTGGTATTAAACTGTTACCTCTTTTCCATTTAATTCCATATGATTCTGTACAAATTCCTTTTGAATACTCTCACCCTCAAAAGATGGCTGCAGTACAGAGGAACATGCAATAAATACTAGGAGGAAACCCCAGGCTCAGGAAGATCTGCCAGAGTCATCCCACTCTGCGCCAGCATTGCCATGTGCATTCGTGGCTCCTAAACAGGGAGATGTTTAAGCGGTGCCTGGGAGGAACTGGGCTTTGCTTGGGTTTCCCTGCAGGCAGCGGGGTGGAACACCATGTCTTGGTCACGTTGTTTGTACAATCATTTGTTAATGGGATTTGAAGACTTAGAGAGGATTTTCTTGATCTGTGGAGGGATGCGCTCTGCCTTGTTCATAAAGGTCATTCGTTAAAGCCCAGATAACCAAAGTGCCATTATAGAACACCACAGGACAGTTGTTTTTGAGGTTGGGGATTTTGTAAACAGAGCCAGATGTTACAGAGCAAAAGCCTTACATGGTGGGCCCCTTGCTGGAAAGCGGTACTTCATTTGTGTTGGAAACAATAAAACGGGATTAACTGGTTGACTGCGCAGTGCCCTTGTCCGTGTGCGTGCCTTTGCCCCCCTTGCCCACCGCAGCCCCGTTGCTCCTGTTTCGCAGGCGGAACTCGTATCTCCTCTCCATCTGCTGAGGGGGAGACCAGCTATGAGCTGCTGAGTTCTCAGGGTACTGGCAGGGCCGTGTTGCTGGAGCGTTTCCATTTGGCAGTGGAAAATATTCCCCAGGGATTTATTTGGGGGCTCCTCTTGAATGATCTGTCCCTAGGGAGCTGCAGGGGCAGCCATAGTTGGGGCTCATCCCTAGGGAGGGGCAGCAGAGCCAGGGCAGGAGCCACAGGACGGGCGCCCAGGGAGACCCAAGTGCTCTCAGAGCCAAATCCATCTCTGAATCCCTCGCGTGCCACGGAGGCGGCTGAGCCCAGAAGGTCTCCTGGCTTATGGGAAGCTGGGGTGGGATTAGGATTCCCAGCCAGAAAGCCTGTTGCTAACTGGCTCCTCATCACTCCCACGGTGACTTGAGGCAAGAGAGTCGCTGCATTAGCAGCTCCTGGCAGAATAAATGGGTCTTCAGGTGCTGGGGCTGTCACCTCAGTGCCTGTCCTTGCAGGAGCCATAAGGGAGGTTTCTCTCCCTGCCCAGCCACCTCTCCTCCAGCTGAGCTCAGCTGCCCTGGCCTGGTTGGTGCTAACTGCAGATCAGGCTGTTCCAAAGGTCACTGCTTCATCTCAAATTCATTTCAGGTCTCCAGGTGCTGTGGAGGGAGTGAAGATACTGAGCACGAGTGGGGGATGCTCACCTTTCCCTGCTCTGGGGAACATAATCCTTCCCTGGGGGGAGGCAGGGCTGATGCAAAGACGTAGGGTACAGATTATCTCCCCCCAGGCTGTGAGCACCAGCAGCACCATCACCGAAAAAAATGACGCTGAGGGTTTAATGAGGAGGCGTTATTGCTGAACTACACCGCCTTTGAACTGGAGCCTGGCTGCTCGCCCAACACCGATCGCAGCGGTTGCTCCTACCTGGCGAGGAGGTG